AGTCCACATAACAGTGATGTCCAATTTTGTAACATTCCACTTATCATAAAATACGGTCCATGAACTTTACTGACACACTTCTAACAGGGACAACAGGTCAGTGACCTCCTTAAACCTAACGCTCTCTTTAATAGGCAATGTCGACTATGGTATCTTAACACTAAACTTTACCAGTCAGGTCAAAACATAATGAAAGAAGACTAAAAAAAAAAATTTTTTTAAATATATTAATGTGTCTATATTAATTGTAACATGTGTTCATATATATACATGTAAACATGTCTATATTAATTGTAACATGTGTTCATATATATACATGTTAACAAGTCTATATTAATTGTAACACGGTTCATATATATACATGTAAACAGACTTTTTATTGGTATAGATCACCAATGATGTTCTTCTGAAGAACAACATTTTGTATACATGCAAGGGAGACAATTAGAGAATTAAAACATGTATGAATGTTAATCCAGTGAATTTTTTGCGTAGTGTAACAGAGGTCATTATCTACTTCAAAGCCTCTGCTAGGATTTGTACCCAGGACCTGTGGTTTACCAGTCTGACAGTCAATCAATCAAGCTATATTTCAAAGCCTCTGCTAGGATTTGTACCCAGGACCTGTGGTTTACCAGTCTGACAGTCAACCAATCAAGCTATATTTCAAAGTCTGTGCTAGGATTTGTACCCAGGACCTGTGGTTTACCAGTCTGACAATCAACCAATTAAGCTATATTGCAAAGTCTCTGCTGGGATTTGTACCCAGGACCTGTGGTTTACCAGTCTGACAGTCAACCAATAAAGCTATATTTCAAAGCCTCTGCTAGGATTTGTACCCGGGGCCTGTGGTTTACCAGTCTGACAGTCAACCAATCAAGCTATATTTCAAAGCCTCTGCTAGGATATGTACCCAGGACTTCTGGTTTACCAGCCTGACAGTCAACCAATCAAGCTATATTTCAAAGCCTATGTTAGGATATGTACCCGGGACTTCTGGTTTACCAGCCTGACAGTCAACCAATCAAGCTATATTTCAAAGCTTAAGAGAAATTCTCTCTAGCTGAATTACAATGATTTACAAATGTACTTGTATGAAGCAAAACCAATACCTATCTAGTACTGTGAACGAGGATTAGCTCTGTGTGGAGATAAGCTTCAAACATCAAACTAAAGTTCTTAATTGATGAATCTTATTTCTGTCTAATGAACCAAATATTCCTTAAATGTAGAAATTACTCTCCTTCACATAATTGATTTAGACATTGTAATGTTCTATCCAAATTTCACATTTATATAAATAATTTTTTGTTTTAATTTAAAATCTCTGTATAAAAAGTTAAAGGTGTGTTATTGTTGATTTTTAAGATATGTTTTGTTGACATCTTTACTTCTGTACTCTACCTTACACGCCAATATTATCATCAAAAGTGCCTCATATACCTAAGGTATATACTTCGGACAGAATTTTATAGAAGTAAGACACTGTATCTGAGATTCATGCTGACCTTATCGCGTAAGCTCAAGTACAAACACATGCACTTATGAGAAAACAGAGGTGTGTTTAAGGAACTGAAAACAGAGGTAGCACAAGGTCATTGTCACGAAACAGCCAGCTGATAGATAAGGGTATTTACTTTTATCTTTCAAGATTTCTCCTTGGAATATCATAACAAATCAAGGGAACAGTCTGAGGAATAGTGACTGTAAATGGGAACAAAAAAGGTAACAGCCTGAGGAATAGTGACTGTAAATGGGAACACAAAAGGGAACAGCCTGAGGAATAGTGACTGTAAATGGGAACACAAAAGGGAACAGCCTGAGGAATAGTGACTGTAAATGGGAACAAAAAAGGGAACAGCCTGAGGAATAGTGACTGTAAATGGGAACACAAAAGGGAACAGCCTGAGGAATAGTGACTGTAAATGGGAACACAAAAGGGAACAGCCTGAGGAATAGTGACTGTAAATGGGAACAGCCTGAGGAATAAAAAGGGAACAGCCTGAGGAATAGTGACTGTAAATGGGAACACAAAAGGGAACAGCCTGAGGAATAGTGACTGTAAATGGGAACACAAAAGGGAACAGCCTGAGGAATAGTGACTGTAAATGGGAACACAAAAGGTAACAGCCTGAGGAATAGTGACTGTAAATGGGAACACAAAAGGGAACAGCCTGAGGAATAGTGACTGTAAATGGGAACACAAAAGGGAACAGCCTGAGGAATAGTGACTGTAAATGGGAACACAAAAGGGAACAGCCTGAGGAATAGTGACTGTAAATGGGAACACAAAAGGGAACAGCCTGAGGAATAGTGACTGTAAATGGGAACAAAAAAGGGAACAGCCTGAGGAATAGTGACTGTAAATGGGAGTGACTGTAAATGGGAACAAAAGGGAACAGCCTGAGGAATAGTGACTGTAAATGGGAGTGACACAAAAGGGAACAGCCTGAGGAATAGTGACTGTAAATGGGAACAGCCTGAGGAATAGTGACTGTAAATGGGAACAAAAAAGGTAACAGCCTGAGGAAAAGAGACTGTAAATGCGAACACAATAGTGAACGGCCGGGGGAATAGTGACTGTAAATGGGAACAAAAAGGGAACAGCCTGAGGAATAGTGACTGTAAATGGGAACAAAAAAGGGAACAGCCTGAGGAATAGTGACTGTAAATGGGAACACAAAAGGGAACAGCCTGAGGAATAGTGACTGTAAATGGGAACACAAAAGGGAACAGCCTGAGGAATAGTGACTGTAAATGGGAACACAAAAGGGAACAGCCTGAGGAATAGTGACTGTAAATGGGAACACAAAAGGGAACAGCCTGAGGAATAGTGACTGTAAATGGGAACAAAAAAGGGAACAGCCTGAGGAATAGTGACTGTAAATGGGAACAAAAAAGGGAACAGCCTGAGGAATAGTGACTGTAAATGGGAACAAAAAAGGGAACAGCCTGAGGAATAGTGACTGTAAATGGGAACAAAAAAGGGAACAGCCTGAGGAATAGTGACTGTAAATGGGAACACAAAAGGGAACAGCCTGAGGAATAGTGACTGTAAATGGGAACACAAAAGGGAACAGCCTGAGGAATAGTGACTGTAAATGGGAACAAAAAAGGGAACAGCCTGAGGAATAGTGACTGTAAATGGGAACAAAAAAGGTAACAGCCTGAGGAATAGTGACTGTAAATGGGAACAAAAAAGGTAACAGCCTGAGGAATAGTGACTGTAAATGGGAACAAAAAAGGTAACAGCCTGAGGAATAGTGACTGTAAATGGGAACAAAAAAGGTAACAGCCTGAGGAATAGTGACTGTAAATGGGAACACAAAAGGGAACAGCCTGAGGAATAGTGACTGTAAATGGGAACACAAAAGGTAACAGCCTGAGGAATAGTGACTGTAAATGGGAACAAGAACGAAAATACAAACACATCAACAGAATTTTGATTCAAACTCAAATTTGACGAGAATAGGGCATAACATACAAAAAGGAAGATTTGCAAGGAAACTTCACATCAGCAAATGTATTTACTGAACATGTGTTAAAGAAGACATCTATGGTCTATGGAGCTTTGCTAGAATCCTTCAAATCCACCTAGGACTCTTCTACCGATACATCTACCATCTAGTACCACTCACAGGACGTTGGACTCCTCCACATCTTTTTATTTTCCCAATTAAAGAAGACATGTTAAGTTATATTTTGTATTGTTGGTTTTAAACTTTTGTTTATTTCATGCACCTCAACATGACAGGCCAAGTATCAATATGTGGTTTATAGTAAACAAGATCCATTTTGGATCGACTTTAATCTAAGTATGTCACTGACACCTGGTTCCTGATATATGTGTGTCAATAAAGTTCAGTACCTTTATACTAAAAGAGAGGGGATGAGTGAAAAATATCTGGATGACAAAAACATCACCGTGTTTAAATAATAGTCTCAAGATTACAGTGTCGTGAACTCTCCTTGTACTATTAAACATGTCAAGGTATTACTACCACAAAAAATATAGCTAAAAAATTCAATGTCAGTTCCTAAGGTTCACATATCTCTGTAGTCTACGCAATACTGATCTATATATGACTGTGTACAGACCTATCTATAAATGAAAACTCGGTAAGAAACAGACACTTTTTGTACAATCACAATCTGCAAAACAAAAGTTTTACTGCAAAAAAAAATAGTTTTACTCACACAAGACTGGTTTGTAAATCATCAGAATATTTTTTGTAGGATTGTGACCCTAACTATCCCTGGTCTAACTCAGTCTTTTGTTCTGATTACATGTCACTCTGGTAACACACTGCTAGGCTAGTAAGCTAGAGGTCCTGGGTTTGAATCCTGTTAGATTTGTACCCAAGTAGTGTCTCAGGAATACAGCATTACTGTAACCCTCGCAAAATTGAGGACAAGATCTTTCCGAGACAGGAATTATCTAACCCTGGTTAAAATACTTCTCTTAATATATCATTTGTCTATATCAACAACTCCCCATTAGCTCAATCTGTGGAATATAAAGCCAGGGGTCCAGAGTTCGAATCCTAGCAAAGACATTAAAATTGATAATGACCTCAGTTAAACACATGTAAAATATTAGAAAAAAAACTATGATTTAATTTATCAACAAAAGTGTACAAATTCTTTATACTGTCTCCTCTATATTACTACAACCAAACAGATTTTATTTCCATAATTTCTTCGGGCCAAACGGGCCTGTATCACTCAACTTTTGAAAACCTTGAATATAGGAAATTTGCTAGATAATTTCTTCTTTACAAATTCAGTTCTGGAAAGCCTTAACCTAGATGTAGCCAATCAATGCATGTTATATGATAAAGTATGAAAATTAAGCAATTTGTTTTATTGTGAATAATAATGCTGACAAACCTGGAGCAAGTGTTGAAATGTTTCCATAATAGAATCCATATTGATGGGAGTAAAACATTTCTTTGGTTTAATTTTGTAAGGATCTGTTGACGATATAAAAAAGTACTTACCTTGACTACGCTGATCGGTTTTCTGGACATGTGAAAACAGGTGTAACACAGGAAGGTGAAAATCAGAATATAGATTCTGTACCTGTAACAGAGATAAAGATTCTGTACCTGTAACAGAGATATAGATTCTGTACCTGTAACAGAGATATAGATTCTGTACCTGTAACAGAGATATAGATTCTGTACCTGTAACAGAGATATAGATTCTGTACCTGTAACAGAGATATAGATTCTGTACCTGTACCTGTAACAGATTCTGTACCTGTAACAGAGATATAGATTCTGTACCTGTAACAGAGATATAGATTCTGTACCTGTAACAGAGATATAGATTCTGTACCTGTAACAGAGATATAGATTCTGTACCTGTAACAGAGATAAAGATTCTGTACCTGTAACAGAGATTCTGTACCTGTAACAGAGATATAGATTCTGTACCTGTAACAGAGATATAGATTCTGTACCTGTAACAGAGATATAGATTCTGTACCTGTAACAGAGATATAGATTCTGTACCTGTAACAGAGATATAGATTCTGTACCTGTAACAGAGATATAGATTCTGTACCTGTAACAGAGATATAGATTCTGTACCTGTAACAGAGATATAGATTCTGTACCTGTAACAGAGATATAGATTCTGTACCTGTAACAGAGATATAGATTCTGTACCTGTAACAGAGATATAGATTCTGTACCTGTAACAGAGATATAGATTCTGTACCTGTAACAGAGATAAAGATTCTGTACCTGTAACAGAGATATAGATTCTGTACCTGTAACAGAGATTCTGTACCTGTAACAGAGATTCTGTACCTGTAACAGAGATATAGATTCTGTACCTGTAACAGAGATATAGATTCTGTACCTGTAACAGAGATAAAGATTCTGTACCTGTAACAGAGATATAGATTCTGTACCTGTAACAGAGATAAAGATTCTGTACCTGTAACAGAGATATAGATTCTGTACCTGTAACAGAGATTCTGTACCTGTAACAGAGATATAGATTCTGTACCTGTAACAGAGATATAGATTCTGTACCTGTAACAGAGATAAAGATTCTGTACCTGTAACAGAGATAAAGATTCTGTACCTGTAACAGAGATTCTGTACCTGTAACAGAGATTCTGTACCTGTAACAGAGATATAGATTCTGTACCTGTAACAGAGATAAAGATTCTGTACCTGTAACAGAGATTCTGTACCTGTAACAGAGATAAAGATTCTGTACCTGTAACAGAGATATAGATTCTGTACCTGTAACAGAGATATAGATTCTGTACCTGTAACACAGATATAGATTCTGTACCTGTAACAGAGATTCTGTACCTGTAACAGAGATATAGATTCTGTACCTGTAACACAGATATAGATTCTGTACCTGTAACAGAGATAAAGATTCTGTACCTGTAACAGAGATTCTGTACCTGTAACAGAGATTCTGTACCTGTAACAGAGATAAAGATTCTGTACCTGTAACAGAGATTCTGTACCTGTAACAGAGATATAGATTCTGTACCTGTAACAGAGATATAGATTCTGTACCTGTAACAGAGATATAGATTCTGTACCTGTAACAGAGATAAAGATTCTGTACCTGTAACAGAGATTCTGTACCTGTAACAGAGATTCTGTACCTGTAACAGAGATATAGATTCTGTACCTGTAACAGAGATATAGATTCTGTACCTGTAACAGAGATAAAGATTCTGTACCTGTAACTGAGATAAAGATTCTGTACCTGTAACAGAGATTCTGTACCTGTAACAGAGATATAGATTCTGTACCTGTAACACAGATATAGATTCTGTACCTGTAACAGAGATATAGATTTTGTACCTGTAACAGAGATATAGATTCTGTACCTGTAACAGAGATATAGATTCTGTACCTGTAACAGAGATAAAGATTCTGTACCTGTAACAGAGATCAGGATTCTGTACCTGTAACAATCAGGAGAGAGATTTTACAGCCTTGAGGGCTAAATGATAATGGAAAAAAGAAATTGAGAATATACTTAAAAATTTAAAACGAAAATAATCTAAACATCTTTATCATGAATAATTTCAACAAATTTTACTAAAAATATATATTCTTAAAGTTGTGATTAGCAAAAAATTCAGTCTTTGTTTTCATCATAGTGTAATACTGGTAGTCAGCACATGCTTTCGAGTTTTAAACCCAGGTATTGCTTCAATCCCACAGAGTGTTTTGTAAAAGTAACGATAATCAGCCATTGTAAGAAGATAAACATGAAAAAAGTAAGGAAACTGTAATGGTAAGGGAGATAACTATGAAGGGATGATGTTCAAAACACATCAGAGGAGGTAAACGGGGAGCTACAGAAGAGAACATAATGTAACAAGGTAAAATGTTATAAGAACACAACAGGCATGACAGCTAAAAACAGCATAGGACAGATTAATGATCTAAAGCCTGGATCAAACTCTTCACCTCTGATCTGAGTTGGAGCATGTTGTACTGACTAAGCTGAAGCACAAGTGGCCCTAATACAATGGATATAATTATATGTTAGTATGGAGATATTGTTATACTGTTATAATGTAACATAATAAATTCTATCAGACACTGTAAAGTTCAACCTGGAAGGTCTTTATATCCACAAATATATCTCTCTGTCTCTGTGTCATTCTCTAATATTCTATCTTCCTCTCTGTCTCTGTGTCATTCTCTAACATTCTATCTTCCTCTCTGTCTCTGTGTCATTCTCTAACATTCTATCTTCCTCTCTGTCTCTGTGTCATTCTCTAACATTCTATCTTCCTCTCTGTCTCTGTGTCATTCTCTAACATTCTATCTTCCTCTCTGTCTCTGTGTCATTCTCTAACATTCTATCTTCCTCTCTGTCTCTGTGTCATTCTCTAACATTCTATCTTCCTCTCTGTCTCTGTGTCATTCTCTAACATTCTATCTTCCTCTCTGTCTCTGTGTCATTCTCTAACATTCTATCTTCCTCTCTGTCTCTGTGTCATTCTCTAACATTCTATCTTCCTCTCTGTCTCTGTGTCATTCTCTAACATTCTATCTTCCTCTCTGTCTCTGTGTCATTCTCTAACATTCTATCTTCCTCTCTGTCTCTGTGTCATTCTCTAACATTCTATCTTCCTCTCTGTCTCTGTGTCATTCTCTAACATTCTATCTTCCTCTCTGTGTCATTCTCTAACATTCTATCTTCCTCTCTGTCCCTGTGTCATTCTCTAACATTCTATCTTCCTCTCTGTCTCTGTGTCATTCTCTAACATTCTATCTTCCTCTCTGTGTCATTCTCTAACATTCTATCTTCCTCTCTGTCTCTGTGTCATTCTCTAACATTCTATCTTCCTCTCTGTCTCTGTGTCATTCTCTAACATTCTATCTTCCTCTCTGTCTCTGTGTCATTCTCTAACTCTCTATCTTCCTCTCTGTCTCTGTGTCATTCTCTAACATTCTATCTTCCTCTCTGTCTCTGTGTCATTCTCTAACATTCTATCTTCCTCTCTGTCCCTGTGTCATTCTCTAATATTCTATCTTCCTCTCTGTCCCTGTGTCATTCTCTAACATTCTATCTTCCTCTCTGTCTCTGTGTCATTCTCTAACATTCTATCTTCCTCTCTGTCGCTGTGTCATTCTCTAACATTCTATCTTCCTCTCTGTCGCTGTGTCATTCTCTAATATTCTATCTTCCTCTCTGTCCCTGTGTCATTCTCTAACATTCTATCTTCCTCTCTGTCTCTGTGTCATTCTCTAACATTCTATCTTCCTCTCTGTCTCTGTGTCATTCTCTAACATTCTATCTTCCTCTCTGTCCCTGTGTCATTCTCTAATAATCTATCTTCCTCTCTGTCCCTGTGTCATTCTCTAACATTCTATCTTCCTCTCTGTCTCTGTGTCATTCTCTAACATTCTATCTTCCTCTCTGTCCCTGTGTCATTCTCTAACATTCTATCTTCCTCTCTGTGTCATTCTCTAACTCTATATCTTCCTCTCTGTCCCTGTGTCATTCTCTAACATTCTATCTTCCTCTCTGTCTCTGTGTCATTCTCTAACATTCTATCTTCCTCTCTGTGTCATTCTCTAACATTCTATCTTCCTCTCTGTCTCTGTGTCATTCTCTAACATTCTATCTTCCTCTCTGTCCCTGTGTCATTCTCTAACTCTCTATCTTCTTCTCTGTCCCTGTGTCATTCTCTAACATTCTATCTTCCTCTCTGTCTCTGTGTCATTCTCTAACTCTCTATCTTCCTCTCTGTCCCTGTGTCATTCTCTAACATTCTATCTTCCTCTCTGTCTCTGTGTCATTCTCTAACATTCTATCTTCCTCTCTGTGTCATTCTCTAACTCTCTATCTTCCTCTCTGTCCCTGTGTCATTCTCTAACATTCTATCTTCCTCTCTGTCTCTGTGTCATTCTCTAATATTCTATCTTCCTCTCTGTCCCTGTGTCATTCTCTAACATTCTATCTTCCTCTCTGTCTCTGTGTCATTCTCTAACATTCTATCTTCCTCTCTGTCGCTGTGTCATTCTCTAACATTCTATCTTCCTCTCTGTTGCTGTGTCATTCTCTAATATTCTATCTTCCTCTCTGTCCCTGTGTCATTCTCTAACATTCTATCTTCCTCTCTGTCTCTGTGTCATTCTCTAACATTCTATCTTCCTCTCTGTCTCTGTGTCATTCTCTAACATTCTATCTTCCTCTCTGTCCCTGTGTCATTCTCTAATAATCTATCTTCCTCTCTGTCCCTGTGTCATTCTCTAACATTCTATCTTCCTCTCTGTCTCTGTGTCATTCTCTAACATTCTATCTTCCTCTCTGTCCCTGTGTCATTCTCTAACATTCTATCTTCCTCTCTGTGTCATTCTCTAACTCTATATCTTCCTCTCTGTCTCTGTGTCATTCTCTAACATTCTATCTTCCTCTCTGTCTCTGTGTCATTCTCTAACATTCTATCTTCCTCTCTGTGTCATTCTCTAACATTCTATCTTCCTCTCTGTCTCTGTGTCATTCTCTAACATTCTATCTTCCTCTCTGTCCCTGTGTCATTCTCTAACTCTCTATCTTCTTCTCTGTCCCTGTGTCAT